GCCCAGTGAGGTTGTGGAGTCCCCATCCCTGGAGGTGTTAAAAACTCCTGTGGGTGTGGTGCTTTGGGACACAGTTCAGTGGTCGTGGCAGTGCTGGGTTGGCGGCTGGACCTGATTTTAGAAGTCTCCTCCAACTTTAATGATCCTGTGATTCTATGTGATCAGCCCTTTGGCTGTGCTAAAATTGCATGATTCCATGTTGCAGTATTGCTCATCTGTGCTGTCACTGCTTCTGCTCTCCCTACAGGCAGACATCTGGTCCCTTGGAATTACAGCCATTGAACTGGCAAAGGGAGAGCCTCCAAATTCTGACTTGCATCCTATGCGCGTTCTCTTCCTTATCCCCAAAAATAACCCTCCGACACTTGAGGGTCACCACAGCAAGCCCTTCAAGGAGTTTGTGGAAGCCTGCCTCAATAAGGATCCTAGATTTGTGAGTATTGCTGCCCACCTGTTCATTTGGGTACTGTATTGCAGAGGCCAAGGATGGATTTAGCAGGCAGACCTTTGAGTCCCAGGCTCGTGGAGAGAGAGGAGCGCTGAGCGTGCAGCGTGGATGGACCAGCCTGGCAAGGGTGGAAGGCTCTGTACACTGAACAGCTGCCTGTGTAGTGTGCAGAGGTGGTTGGCTGCAGCCTGCTCTCCTCATGTGTTCCAGAGGCCGACAGCCAAAGAGCTGCTGAAGCACAAGTTCATCACACGCTACACGAAGAAAACCTCCTTCCTCATGGAGCTGATCGACCGGTTCAAGCGCTGGAAGTCGGAGGGGCACGGGGAGGATTCCAGTTCTGGTGACTCTGATATGTACGTTCTGGAGGTGCTCTGCATGGAGGGCTGCCCCTCTGCCGTGCCCTGTGGGCTGTGGGTCAGCCTGCTGCCAACAGCTCAGGCCCCTTTCCCCACCTGGGCTGGAGACCTTAGGGCGGCTCAGGGAGACCTGTGAGCGTCTCTTTGTGGGAGCTGCCTGAAGAAACAGGTTGTCACCTCCCTAAGCTTGTCTTTAAATTCTCATGAATTTCAATAGTGCTTTAGCACTTAACTAGCTCTTCCTGGTGCTAGTCTTCAGGCTGGCTAGAGCAGAAAGGTGGTTGTGGTGATTTGGAAACATGACGTAGTACTCAGCACAGATCTCTGTGGTTCTGTGTGTGGGCTGTAGAGACTGAAGCAATTTCTCTTTAGGATTTCTTTCTGGGATAGGGAAATGCCTGGAGCCCTGTGGCAATATGACAGTTGGTCTGGGGAGAGCTTGTGACTGTGGGAACACATGGCTAAGCCACCCAGGGTATGGAGCTGAGGCTTTGTTTTGACCTCCCCCTCTTCATTTGCAGCGATGGAGACACAGAGGATGGAGACCAGGGTCCAATCTGGACATTCCCACCAACTATTCGTCCCAACTCCTTGAGCAAACTGCACAAAGGAATGGCTTTTCATGGTTCCCAGAAGGTCTGTTTGCTACTTGTTCTTTCAGAAGTGGCCTGAACTAACACAAGCTTTTTAGGGTCCTGGGAAAGCTACCAGTCACTCATATTCTTTCCAGAATTTACCATAGTCTAGTATCAAGGGCTAATGCCCCAGAGTTGCCCTTCCATGTTGCCAGGGTATTGCAATCTGTGGCTTTCCTGAGGTGAGGCCTGGTGAGGTGCTGTGAGTTTGCCAAAGGATTAGTAGTTAGTGTGCCCTGGGAACCTTTGGCTGTGCTTGTAACTTCTGTTCATGTTGCTTTCCAGCCTAGTGAGCCCATCAAGAGGCAGCCACGGTCACAGTGTCTCTCCACACTTGTTCACCCAGTTTTTGGGGAGGTGAGTAGAACCTTCTTGGTGTCTGTGGTGTCTGGAGATGGAGCTGACATGGATAACTGAATGGGCAGGATGTGGAGAAGGGGAGGTACAGTGAGGCACCTAGTAGGGTTAAGGGCCTGTGAAGCATTTATCCCTCTGCTTAGAGGTCTATACCCTCCAGCAGGGAAGTGAGTGTGTCCCTGCTGTGTCCTCTCCCAGCCACTTGTGTTCCCAGCAGCAGGGCATTGCTGTGTGTCCCCTGGTGAGGACAAGGTAGAGGAGTTCCTGTTTCTTATCTGCATCCAGGGCTTGCTCTCGTGTAGGCAGCTCTGGACCCCGATGTCCCTGCCTCCAGGGCTGGTGTGCAGCTCCTCTAGGGCAGGCAGGGATGGGAGCCTGCCTGCTGCTGTGGCTGTTCCAGCCCTGCTGCTGTGTGCTGCCACCCACAGCAGTCACTGAGGGGAATGGGGGTGGACTAGAGCAGGAGGCAGCTTTGCCAGTAACTAGACCATCTTCTTGATTTATATGCACCTGCTATAGGACTGAGAAGAGCCTGAATTCCACTGGAATTCCATCTTCCTGGCCTACAAAAAAAAGCCCTTCTTTATTTTTTTTAAGAAGAATGCAGGTGTCCTCCTGCAGCCTTGCAGAGTCATACTAAAGCAGTTTCTGCTTCATTGTTTCAGCTGAAAGATAAACACAAGCAGACTGGAGGCAATGTGGGAGCTATGGAGGAGCTGGAGAATGCCTTTAGCTTGGCTGAGGAGTCCTGCCCTGGCATCTCTGACAAACTGATAGCACACATGGTCGAGAGGGTACAAAGGTGAGTGTCCTTCAGAGAGGGAGCTGGAGCTGGCAGTGAACTGAGCTATTGATGAGACAAGACACCCAAAAAGTGAACACTGATGACAGCTGACCTAATAGTCCTTATGCCACTGCTTTCAACTGCTTTTCATTTAATGGGAGCAGTTCTTCCTGCCTCAGGAGTCCTTCCTCACACTGAACAGGTTTCTGTAGTGTAGATGAATGTTGCAGAGCACAGAAAGATGCTGCTCTTCACCTTCATCCTGCATATACATATATATAGATAGACAGATATGAGGTCCTGCTGGGGTTCCATTATGCAAAATGTCTTTGGGATCCCTTCTGGAAGGCAGAGTATCTGTTTCATCACAAGCAGCACTTTGCAGCATGATGTGCAGCCAGTGACTCTGCTTGTCCAGCTCCAGGTGGCAGGACAGTGAATGTTTCCTGAAGTAAAGGACTGATTAAACCAGTGAAGGAGTAGAGGCTGATAAATGAAGTTCCTTGTTGCTCAGCAGATGCTGCCTCAAACTTGCCTTTGCTGCTGGCACCAACTTCAATCCCATCCCTGTGTTGCAGGCAGTGGTGTCAGATCCTGCTCACAGGTTCATCAGGCTTTCATTACATTAATTTGGCTTTTCTCTCTTTCACAGCAGGCTATCCTAAATCTCACCCTTTCCTCACCAGCTGGAACTTCACTTCCAGCCTTCTAACCAGAGGAGCCAAATGTGAAGTCTTTTGCTATACATGTGAGCAAAGGAGCCATTCTGTGCCCTTGCTGCTGATGGAAAGACAGCCTGAGCCTAACAAACAGTCTGTACCCCCTTGAACTTGGGCTGTCTAAGCAGTTATTTCTGATGGCTTTAAGCTGGTGTAGTTCATGCCTTGTAGCTCACGTGTCAGCCGGATGCTGTCAAGCAAAGCAAAGCCCTAGGTATTAAGGACTGAAAAGACTGGCCCTCCTTGAGAGCATCTGTTACTGTGCCATTCAGGCTTTCAAGCAAACACACCATGGGTCTGTTTAGATCTCTCCTTTCATAATCCCTTCAAGGGGGAAAGAGAACACTCTTGTCTCTTCTGACTGACCCACAGAGGTCACAGGAAAGTGTCCTGGTGATGCCTGTGGAAATTGTGCCACTAGCTGAGCAGCAGGAGGTACTTGCAGATGTGCACTGGTTGACTCTACAGAGCAGCTGTTTCAGTATCAGTGACCTCTCTCAGCCTAGACATGGCACCTCTGGATGGTGCATAAGCACAAGACACTGGGGTTTTTTTGAGGTTTACAATTCCTCAGAGACCCTGGTTGGTTTCTTACTGTAAAACACTAGTACGGAAAACTTAGTAGCCTAAAGTTGAACAGTAAAAGCCTGAGAAGTGCTACCTTGGCTTTTTGTTGAATTGCTGGTTTTCTTTCAAAGACTTCTTTCTCTAGAAGACTGGCAGTGGGGGTGGGGGCAAGCAGAGCCAGACTCACCTCTCCATCTGCAGCCCCAGCAGCTGGCACGGTCCAGGTCAGGGCTTGGGAGGGACAGCAGTGACCAGCTCCACCCCTTACCCTTTCTTGCAGGTTTTCACACAGTCGGAACCACCTGACCTCTGCCCACTGACACCTGCATTCTCTGCTCCTGTTTTGAGGGGGGAAGGATTTTTTTCCAGCTTCATAAACTACATCTCTAATCCAGACTACCATCTGCTGTTGGATGTACGTCGTGTTACGGACTCCAGAACATTTCAGAGCCTTCGTAGTCCACGTGTCTCCGTGACAACCCAGGGCAGGGTTTGCAATGCAAGTACAATTTAGACCTTTTGCAGAACCCGAGATGGGGGGTCTAATTGTTTTTTTACAATGTAATCAATGCAGTTTTTAATTGTTTCCCCTATGGATGTGTCCGTTTTGGCTTGGTTCCATTCACAGCTTGTAACTGGTAAAGGCCTGGCTGCTGGAAAAGAGGGAGGTTCTCTTCCATGGAGGTGTTTCAAAGGCCAGTCTCATGGGTTTAGCCTCCTGCCCTTCCTGAAGAAGGACCTGTGGGCAGTTACTCCAGTGAGAAGTGCTGGGAGTGCAGGGATGTGTGGAAGCTCTGCACGGCCTCTGGGAGAGTGAGAGCAGCTCTCCAGCTCTTCCTCCAGGATTGCTTCAAATCCTTCACACACTAGTGACAAAAAACTTTGAAGGTGAGCAGCAGCTCAGGCAATACTGCTGCTGCTCTTCCTCAGCTGGTTGTCTCACAGGAAGATGGGTTTGCTGACCGTGCTCTTGGCCTCTGGGACATCATTCTGTATTAGGCTTTGGTTCATCTAATTCAGGCAACAGAACTGGCTTTGGGTCTCCAGGGACTGGAATGCAAAGTGGGGTTACATTTGGGTTGGCAGCTGGAGTTTCTTTCCTGGGGGCTTTCTACAACTGAAGCAACTAGATCTGCATGTTTGGCAGTCCCAGTTTCTTAAGCTGAGCAGATGCCTACTGTGGGTGCCCAAATGTTTCAGAAAGATTAAAAAAAATGGTGTGGAGGGAACACAGCAGCCAAAAGCCCCAGCAGGGCTTCAGTTCAAAAGGCAGATCAACAGTGCCTAGCAGTTTTTGAGGCAGGAAGCCCTGTGCTCTATGGAGAGGTATGAATTGGAGAGCTAGGAGCAGTGGTATCCGTGTTGTGTGGCTGGGGTTTACAGAAGCCACTCAGGTCTCCATCCCCTTCTCCTCAGCTTTCCCTTTCTGTCTTTTCTTTCAGTCTGGGATCTAAACTCACTGAAGCCAGGGCCCTGCTCCCATTGACAAGTGGTGGTGGTGTTTGCTGGCTGAGAACTTAGAGCATCTACTGCCATATTTGCTGCTTAGGATATTCCAGTGGAGCCATCCCCAGCCAGCTTTGCTTTCTATATAATACTAGTTTATAAAGGAACTATTTAATTTAGACAAATGGATAGATCTTAAATCTATAAAGGTCTACAAAAATAGACTTACAAAAATAACTTCTGATAGCTTGGTTGCTCAGAAGTCTGCTGTCTAACTCTAAAGATTCCTATTAAGTCAGCGAGACCTATCCAGATCTTTCTGTCGGGGTGTTTGTGTGTGAATGATGTGGCTCCATCCCAAAGCCACCAAGAACAAAAGATGTAGTTGTTCAGCATTTATTTGATTTTCAAAGACGGCCACTTCTTTAGTAACAAGGCTTGAGTTTTGGTACTTTGATCCAGACCTGCAGATTGTAAGTGCTGGGCTAGAAGTAGCTCAAGAGGACCATACATTCCCTCATCCTGGTGTGCAGCGTTCACTTTAGCTTAGGACTATCCTTTCCTCTCCCTGCCTGATGGGCAAAGGCAGGCTCAGCAACCACCAGGAACTTGTCCAGCAGAGAAGAGGTGCTGCTGTTTGATCTTGCTGGAGGTCTGCTGCAGGGTTGTGTTTCTCTGTGGGGAGAGCCAGCTCGGAGCCTGCGTTTATGAAGAGAAGAACAACCCCTTTTTTTTTTTCCACAGGAAGAGTTAACAGACAGACAGGAAACTTTAAGTGGAAAGCAGAGGCTGCAGCCTAGCAGAAAGGCAGCTGAAGGGCTCCTGCTGCTTTTAAAGTTGATGTTCATGATGGTAGCAAATAAGGTACCTTGTGTTCTTACTCACATGCACTGCAGTGTAATGAGTAAACTTTTTAAAGGAAATAATCCCCACAAACTTCATCCAGCATTCAAAGCAACAACGGTTTTAGTTTTTCAAAGCATTGAAAGGGAACTGCCACTTTCAATAAAGTAACAAAACAGAGGAGGCTGGTGTAAATTTGTATTATTAGGGGAAAAAGTATTTGTTTGAGCTGCTTTTCGTTGCATTCTTCTCGGTTGCACCCTACATCTGACAGTGCCCTGTGAGACAGGCCTGCTCAAGTACTTGTGCAAGAAGGGGGTACAGTGAAGGGCACGTGGCCCTCAGGGTGAACACTCTGGCAATGCCACTTTAAGCATGTTTAAAGCCTTGTGTGTGACTGTCCTGCCCTAGGCAGAAACATGAAAGTTGAAGTATTTCAAGTCCCTACCAAGCCCCTGCTACAGCAGGTGAATGCAACTGCAGGTTGGGGTGAAGTGCTGAGACCCCCAGCTGCTGCCAGAGAGGCCAAGCTTCTCCTGTCTGCAACATGCTCCTGCAGGAGACCAACAAAGGGCAGCAGCTGCATGGAGAACTCCTGTGTAAGAGGAACACACCCCTGCTAAGCGATTGCAGTATGAGACCATGGCAAAGGAACAGTCACTATCCCCCAGGAAAATCACTAAAGGCAAGGACACGTTCATCAGCAGGGTGAGAGCTCTCAGGTCCCAGGAAAAGCAATGCAATGCTTCTGAGCAGATGCCTGGCCATGGGTGGGAAGGGTGGGGTCAGGAATAAGAGGCACAGAGAGTTTTATACCAAGATGCTATTTACTGTCAACAGTCATATTGAGCTGCATTATAACATATCTAGTCAATCCACATGTATTGGACTACAGGAGTTAATTAAAAAGAAAGGACACTAATAAATTAAGTACATTTAATTTACATGGGACAATGGTCATTGTCACAATGGTAGTGAAAGCTGGATCTGCAGTCACTTGTCTTTTTCACGATGCAAATGCCAAGCAAGAGATGTGGAAAATCCCTCTGGAAATCTCCCAAACAAGTTTTAGACCACATTCTGAGCCAGCCCTGGAGAATACACTCTGTACCTGCTGTTTTCAGAGGGATCTCCACATTCCTCTCTCCTCACAACACCCAACACTTCCTTTTCTCTTCCACTACACCCCTTCATTGTTCCTTCTAGCACACAGACACTTTTCTACCTAGTACAACAGCAGAGTCCCTAGAGCCCCTCAGAGCCACGTCCAACAGCACTTCGTTGCACTTGGCTTATTTCAGTCCTTCCATGGAGGCAACCAGAGGTGACAGCTTCACAAAAATGGCAAGAATTTAATATTTAACACCACAGAGATTTAATAGAGTCCACAGACACTAATGCTCCATCTGGAATCCAGTGACTTTTTACACCTTCATGAGAAACAGAAGATGGATTGCACCCCAGATTTAAAGGTGAGAATAGGGATTTTCAGAAGTCTTTGTGTATCACAAGCACGAGCAACACCGACGTGCAGAGAAGCTTGCTGTCCTATATTGCTTAAATGCCTTAAAAACCTCACCCAGAGGAGGGTGGGGAGCATGTTTGCCATCCCATGCCTTCAGTGATGCCTGCTGCAGGGAAAACACTCCAGAGCTGTGACAGAAGACCAGCGACTGAGCCCCTCAGTGGAGTTCAGAGACAGCCACACCCCCTCCTCTGCACCGACCCACGGGACACCCAAACCACAGCAGCTCAGCAGGGGTTCAGTCTTCCCCCCTGCCCTGGAAAAGTGCTGCCACAGCAGTTCCCAAAGAGCAGAGCTGTTGTAGGAGAGCTGCACCTTCTGTTGGAAATGGGCTGTGTGGAAGCCCTGTCAGTGGGAGGTGACTGTGCCAGCAGGCTGCTGTTGACAGCAAGGCAGCAGTTGTATGGACAGCTGTGCTCAGCACCACGGGAAGGGAACTTCCACCAGCCAGCAAGCCCTGGCACCAGCAGCTGTGAGCCACTCACACCACCCACAGCTGCTGTTTTCCTTCCACACACGCTGACCATCCAGTCAAAATGTAAAAGCAAGGCAGCATCTGCCTTCAGGGCAGGCGAGGGCACAGGGACAACCACAACAGCACACCTCCCACAACGTGTGCACACCAGAGCTCTGCAGCTGCTACGTTCTCTCTAAGTAGGTTCAACTGGAACAGACTTGACCCCCCCTCTGTCCCTCACTCTCACTTTTCCATACCAGGTGGAAACGAGCCTCCTGGTTCTTTGCTTTATTAACTCCAGAGACTCTCATTTCCACCGGCCTCTTCTGTTGGTTTTGTTCTCTTTCTGTTTACAGCAGATCCAGCTCTGCCCCACTTCAGTCTGTGTGACTGTCCTTCTCATCCTTTGGAAGCAGCAGGCTCGACCTGGCTGGAGAGCTGGTGGCTTTCTTGATCACCTCCATCCACCTGGCAAGGAAGGACATGAGAAATGCTCAACACCTCACAGATGCACAATCTTGTGCTTTGGTTCTGAGCTGTACCCCTTTCACCCAACCTCAAAAAACAAACTGTTTTCTTTCTTTTACAATTCTTTCAGGAAACCAGCTTTCAAATTAGTACCTTGAGATGTGGTAAACACACTGCAGAACACCACTGCCTGTCCAAGTAACAGCTCTGCAGTGCTTTGAGCTGCAGAAAGCTCTTATGGTAGCACACCACATTCTCTTTTAAGTGTACAAAAAGTGTTTACCAAGGAACAAAGGCTGACAAAAATTTTCCTTAATCAACAGATTGCATTTCTCACAATAAGTGATGTAACAGACTTGCTATTATGGAAGAAAGTAAAGCAACAGTGCAAAAAGCAAAAAAAAAAATATCCTTTGTGAATTCTAGACATTTTTTCCTTGAAACCACTACCCGAGACCAGAGGACTGAAGAGTACACCTCAGCTGTCTCAGGTAGCTGGTATGTACATTGCTCACAAGTGTGTGGTGTTCTCCCCAGGAAGGGGAAGGTATGTGGCACCTGAATAGAAAACCACGCTCCAAAGAGCTGACAGTACCCTGAACGTGCCCTTTGCATGGCAGAACACAATGCAAAGGTGTTCAACAGCTAAGACAACAGCAAAGTTCTGTGTGTGTGATGCATGGCAAACGTGATTCACTTCAACCATGTGTGGAAGTCTCTGACAGCACTGCTAAACAGTTGTAGAGAAAGCAGTAAAGTGACAAGCAGCACTGCACTTACTGCTTTCAGCCTTGTGTTGCAACTCCTGTTTCCAGAGATTGATAGGGAGGCAAAAAAAGTATTCTTACCAGAACTTTCATTAACCTAGGAGTCTTACTCCCAAGACCTGCTGGGGCTCAGAATCTCACAGCCCTTCCCTTCTACCCACAGTGCTCCCGAGCTCCAAGGAAGCCCCAGACTCTGAGACAGCAGAGCCTACAGCTCTCAGTGCAACTACCAGCTCTCCTCTGCAAGATGGTTCTGGCAGAGGAAGAGTGTCCAAATACCACTGGTAGGAGAAAGAAGTGAGCTTTATTACTGAGAACAGACTGTAAGGTCTCCTGGACTAAGAGGTAGTCAGGAGGAAAGAAGGCTCTGGATGACTAGCGAGTTAAGAGCATGTTATATATACCAAGACAGAGAAAACAGAAAATTACCTCTCAAAAGTGTATTTGCTCTCAGCCCTGAAGAAATACACATGGGACTTGAACTGCAGCTTGAAGACATAATCCTTCTGAATGCCATCTGCCTCCACAGGGGAGCTGACTGCGTAGCCAAGCAGCGGGAGACTGGCCAGCGGATAGTCGTCCTGGAAGAGCCCAAAAAACCTTCACCCAGCTGCTTTCACTGTGTGTTACTTCCTTCTGTCCCCTGCCCATTGCTACCTCCTGGGCTCCCTGCTTCCCTCTCTGTAACTCCAAGCACAGATCCAATACCAAGGTAGAGATGCCCCTTCCAAAAGGAATGTGCCACCAGTGCAAGGAGCCTGAATACAACGAGCAGTTTACTGAAGAGGAGGCGGCACAGGCTGCACTGCAGCAGTTGTTGCCAAACAGGTGCTGAGGGCACAACAGGCAGAAAAATCCCTGATGTCTATTTAGCCCAGCAGAAGATAAATGGAAAGAGATTGACCAAAGGCTGCTGGTTCTCTCACTGCCATTAGTCACTGCATGAGGACATTTCCTCCCTCATAGACAGAAGGTCAGTGCCATTAACAGAATTGGAAATCCTGATTAAATTCTGCAAAGGGCCCACAGCCTTACAGAGACTGGCTTTGTTATGAACTATCTATCTCCTCTTCCACTTGCTACTCTGATTCAGGTAGCAGTGAGCTGCAGTTGGAGCAGAAGGCCAAGGACTTCCAGGTTCTCACTGACACTGCACACACAGCCACCTCAGCCACACCTCCTCACCTGGTGTGTTTTATAGAAGAACAAGCAGAAATTGGTGAAGACAACCCACAGTTTCTGCCAGCCGTTGCTGTTCTTGAACTTCCTCAGCAGATATCCAGAGAGCTGGTTCTAGGACAGAACAAAAAGAAAGCTACCATGGAGCCACAGGTCGCTGTCCTTTCAGAAAAAGACCACTGCTGCTGCAGATCAGAAGCTTGAGGCTGCCTGCTCTAACTGCTCCTGCACTCACTCCTGTCTTGTCAAAAGCCTCCCAGATATTCCACACAGTGAATAAATGACTTTGTATCTCCACTGATTTACAACTACCTTCCTATGAATAAATTGATTTCTCTCCACTAATATCAAGTTCCCCTTGATGTTTAAATACTTGCCATATCTCAGAGCAGTGTCAGGCAGTGCACAGGAGGGAGGGTGCTGCACTGACTCGTCCCTCCAGTGACCACTCTCCCTTGCAGCCTATGGTCAGAGGAATGGTGACAGCCAGGAGGGCCTCCATCCCTTTAGCCACCCTTTTTCACGTGCAGAAAAAACACATAAAACACAGTGTGTACGAGAAGGAAAATAAAGCAGAAGAGGAAACAAAGGATGCCAGGGTTGTGGGCAAGCTACAAGTGGCAGCTGTGTGAAGCCAAGCCCAGCACGGTCAGCACGCTGCAGGAGAAGTTGAACACTGCCTCTTAAAGCCACCGAGGGCTTGTGCAACAGGATAAGGAAACCCATACGGTGTGGAATGGCAGCAAATGGATTTTGTATATTGGAGACGAAGGATATGCAGTAGATTTACACAGGGAACCATTTTGGGAAGCACAGACAGGAGGAAATCCTGTATCAACAAGGCAACGTTACAGCTCCGCCACTGGCTGGCTGGGGCATCCTCATGCCAGCAGGTGTGGGCTCCCTGAGCAATGATGAAGTGAGCAGAAGTCCATGTTCCTCAGCATCCCATGGCTCCTCCCCACCCGTGCAGAACTGGAGAGGCATTTTTACCTGGATCATGCACAGGTAATCAGACAGGGAGAGGCTCTGGTTCCGGTACCAACAAACATGGGTGATTGTGTTGGGCCGTTGGGCCTGGCCCAGCAAATAGCGAGGAGGAAGCTCTGGAGAAACAGCAAGAGAGCAGAAAACTGAGCAGAGAAAAGGAAGAGAGAAAGAGAAAAACAGAACATTAGGACAAGAGAAGCGATGCGAGAAAGGTTATCTGTTAAAGGAAAGTGGATTGTGGGAAAAAAAAATGATGGTGTTAGAACACGGAACAGATCGAAGCAAGAGGGAGCTGCAAGAACTCACACATTTACTCCCAGAGCCCTCAACAGGGTGCTCTCATTATCCAGGTGCAGAACAGTGAGATGGTGCCTTCCACAAGGGTATGAGCAGGGAAAGGAAGGCTTGTGCCCTCCAACTGAAACCACTTTGCCAGCACAAGTGTCTGACTTCTGGACTCTAAGCCCAGGTAACCTCTACAGGACTTCCTTTACTGAGCTGATTGACATGCTCTCTAAATCACAAAACCCCCAGAGCTTCAGTTCCCAACTTTTAACCCCTTCCATTATCCAAGAAGTGCCTTAACAGCATGGCTGGGGAGGTAGGAAGGTACAAACCCATAGTTGCAGCACCCTGCCTCATTGCTGTTTGTCTAGTCAGTGACCTCCTTTTCCTCCTCCCAGTATTTAGGGTTCTTCTCACTTCTGGTCTTCCAAGCACTCCAGCCTCTAGGAAGGTGTCCTACTCAACTGATCTTGACAAACTGCCTCCTAAATTCAAACCTCAGTGCCAGCACAAGCAGTGCTCTGCATAAGGAGTGCTGAACAGACACCTGCCCCAAAACCTTCAGGATTCAGTACCAAAGCTTGCCACCAGTGCTGCATCAAGCCATGCTGAGTGGTAAGACCCACGGTAACAGCAGCTCGGGGGGCACATAATAAATCTCTGTTCAGCATGAGACAACACTGCCATAAAATGGCACTTTCTACTGCTTGCTGCTCAGCCCTGCCAGCGAGAGGAGGGCAGAGGAGCTGCATTCCCACTGAACTCAGAGCACTCTTCTCAGTCCTAGGTGCAGTACAGCAGCTAACTCTTGTTACAGCCAAAGTACCTCGGTACAGCAGTCAATCTACAACAGAAAGTATCGTGGATAGATAACTCATTCTCCAGCAAGGCTGAGGAACAATTCAGCCCTGGAATGTCCCAAATTCCCTTTTAAACCTCCCTCCTTCAGTGCCTTTGCCAAAGCAAAGCTCTGCTGCAGGGAGAGCAGAGAGTGTGCACGCAGACAGGCAGAGCGTGGGGCGAGCATGCAGCAGCCTGAAGGGCCCAAGCTCTCCCGCAGAGGCAGAGATGCTGCCAGCTGGGAGGGAGGATGGAGTGGAGGCCGAGCAGAGGTGAGACAGGAGAGCTGCCCCCCGGGGGTACCTCGACAGCCACACTGTGGTCAGTCATGGAGACGCTGGTGTTGCGGTACCAGCACACGTGCACGGTTGTGTTGGCACGGTGGTGGCTCTGCCTGTCCAGGGAGCTACGAGAAGAGTGAATGTCATCTTCGGACTCCTGTTCTAGAGAGACCTCATCAGAGGATCCTGGGGGAGGAGAATTCGGCAGTGGTTTAAGAAAAGTGTGCAACAGAAAGAGAAGCAAGGATTCCCGAGGGGGAAAAAAAACACTGTTTTCTCTTGCAATGGTCTGGTTTTAAAATACATCCACTTGGCTTTGTTACACAGCTTATAAAGGCTGCTCTGAGCAGATCATTTGGGCTTTTGTTACTCAGCTCTGCCTGGGGTAGCTGACTCAATACTGTGTAAGACACAAAAATCCCCACACTTCATCTTCAATCAGTGAGGAACAGGAAGAAGTGCTCCAAGAAGAGATACTACATGTTTCAGCACACCCATAATACCACCAGAGACAGGCACAAGAATACTGGGCTATAAAAGCTGATCTCCAACGATGCCACATTCTGGACTACATGGTTAAATTGAGAAAAACATGTGCAAGAAATGAATAAGAACCTTATCAAATAACAACTCTGCAAGTGGAGCATCTCAGCTGCATGTAAAGCTACCAGGAACATCAGTCTAGGAAGACAAGCATATTTCTTTTGATTAAAGGAAAAGAAAAGCACAGTTAACTCTCTACTACCACATGCATTATAAAACCACTCCATTTATGTAATCATATTCACAACAGGATAAACTGAAAAGGACATGACAACTGATGCTTTGCAAGAGGGCAGAAACACCACTTACTGTTGGAGCGATTGCACACCGAGTTTTCCAGAAGCATCTCAGATTTCTCAGTAGCTTTCTTGGCCATTTCAATTGCCATGTTGAGGTCTCCCATCCACTTCCCCATCTCCAGGCGTGTGCTGCAAGACAAACAATGGGAATGGAGAGCACCTCAGCAGGGCTATGTTGCTGAATGCCCCTGCCCAATACAAGGAGCAGTCTTTTGCCATTAAAGAAAGAAAAATAACATAGAAATGCCTTGAAACAAGACTAAAAGAACCATTAAAAAGTTGGACTTTGCAGCAAGGAGCATGAACAGCCAGCCAAAGGGCCATGTAATACCCCTCTGGAGCTACTGGACTCGGAAGAGGAATTATGTGGTCCTGGCCCTTGCTTTTTTACCTCTGGCAATATTCCCTGTGTGCATGACTGTTATTTGAAGTGCTATATACAGTCACATGACCTTGTATTTGCTTGAGAGATGTTTTTGTGTGACTTTTTCTTGTAATCTTCTCTTTTTTTCTTTAAGTTTTTAATTTAGGCTGGAAATTCCACAAATGGTCTAAGACCATTGGCAAGATTTTTTTGGACAGGTAACAAAGCCAACAAACTTTGAGCTATTTCTAAGTTCTGACAGGGTAAAAATTATACTTATTTTTTTCCAAGTTTAAGAACCTTTCAAGCACTTTTTGATTCACAGATGCTGCAAAATGGTTGATCTTAAAAATAATTGACATTTTGAGGTGTTGGGCTGGAACTGAAAAGAAGTTTTTCTTGCTGAATTTGTCTGCATTCCAAAAGTATTGGCTCTTCTGCCACTACAAACTTAATTTATAAATGTTCAGCCATAGTTAGTTTTCAAGAACAGGTTATCAAGCAGTAAAAAACCCTATAAATTTATGGTTGAGATTTAGTGCTCCCATCTTGCATTCTTAGCATACCCAACTCCAGCTGCCTTTTAGCAGACCTGTCAAAGGGACAAAATCTCCTGCAGCTGATCCTGACAGCAGAAGGGTAACAGACATCCTAAATATATTTCAGATATCAAATAAAAAAAGATGCCCAAATCACTACACAGGGACAAGTTACACTGAAAAGGGATCAGTTTTCTCTCCAAGCCAGCCTTTAATTTCTCCTTTCCCTTCTCACCTTCCTCCTTAAGATCCATGCAGGAACTTTCCCCTCCTTACATCCATTTGCACAGTCTGGATTTTAATTCTTCTTAGGTTTCTAAAATATCTGTATGCTTAGATTTTGTTTTGTCTCCTGCTTTATAGCAATGGTTTAAAAGATGACACTGGTAACTAGATAACTAGAAAACAATAGCAATGTTATTGCTGCTGCTGTGTGTTTAATTAACACACTGATAATGAGACAAACTGCTCCTTCCAAAAGACAACACCAATGAAGGAGTTATAAAGTGTTCTGTGTGGTTTTTTGAAGCTGTGTTTTCCAGAGGATGCACAAAACGTCTCCCTGGCTCTGCCCCAAACAACTGAACTCTTTGGAAAAGGCACCTATCAAATCTGCAGGCAACTGAGGAAAAGAAATGTTACCTTGCTGCTACCACTATGGTTTTTTGTGCTGAATAGATGGTGAAGCAGTGTGGGACAGCCCATTCATTCTCACTCTCCTCCACCTGCAGAGAAAATAAAAAGTTTATCTCATCACTGCTAAGTGACTGATAAACACTTAAAACTCTTCTCCTTGGGTGGCTAGGAATTTGAGTCACATATGATTACAACCCAGCTGCAGTAAGTGCAGAACAGCTACTCTTTTATGAATACCACCTACTTCAAGTCTATTTTGGCTCTATATGAAAATCTATATTGTGTGTTTCTACTGCCTCACATCTAGCAGCACAGCACCACATCCACCAGGACAAGGAAAGGAGGGTTCTGAGCAGGATTCAGCTCATCACTTACCGGTGGGTCGAGCACTATTAGCTGCAAATCAAACACAGAAAGAACAGTCCCATTAGAACAGGGGGGCAGGAAGGCAGGAGGATTGATTATATGCCTAGGTGTGTGCACAGTGGGAAAAATGGCAGGAAAAATCCCTATTTCCAGATCAGCCTCTCACAACAGCATGAAACAAAGAGTCACAAGGGTGAGCTCCAGCTGTTCTGCTAGTGCAAGGAAAGAACAAGCTCATCACTCGCAGCCAAGTCTCTGCCACACAGGGTCCAGGTCCAGTCCACAGCCCCCTACAGCTGCTTTCTCTGGCCTGGGAGCAGCTGGCAGCTTTGGTCCTCATGCCCTGAAGGAATGCTTCAACCTGCCTGAAGGCAAAGTCACTTCCTTAACCTGTGGTGCCACTTGAAACCACTTACCAACATGCCGTGGAGAGGAAGATGTCCATGAATTTTGAACTGATTTGTCCCTGTCACCCCTTTGCTTGTGTACAGTAACATATCTGAGAACTGAAAAAGGCAGGAAGAGGACAATCAATATTCTGAAGACAGCAGGTAGGGCCAAGTATTTTTTGACATTTTTTTAAAAAATCTGTTTTAAAAAAAATTGTTTAAAGGCCACTGTAGATGCATGAAAAGACTTTTTTGGGGTTTTTTTTTGTAAATTTGGCCTGCTTTCTTTAAAACCAATCCTCAGCTTACTTACAAGAGAGGCAATTAATATTTAAAATTCTCTTAAAACTATGTGCCACTAAGGAAACAAGCTGACCCCACAGTATTGTCAAGTCACGCCCCATCTACAAATCTTTCAGTGTGTGTTTTCAGTTACGAGTGCTGATTTTCAACACAAGCACAGGAAAAGACACTTTCATGACAACTTTATCTTGAAGACTCTGGGTTTATGAAATCCAGAAGCAGCACCCACCAGAAAGAACATCCTCTGCTGTAAACCCTTCTTAGTGAGCTTGTACAAGCAACCTTCTCGGATAAACTCCTGCAGTGGAAAACTGAAAGTTAGGCAAAGCTTTATCTTTCCTAAACACAGAGAATTTTAGTGTTTTTTTTTTTTTTTCCTCATCCAAGAGTACATAGGTGTTGATTGATGCCCTGCAATGATCACTGATAGATTTGTTAAACACCAGAGGACACTTTCTCTTCTGTTTTATACCATGAATCAGCTCCTTGCTGTAGTCAGCACTTAAATCAATGAAACAAGAGAAGGGAAAGGAGCAGAGTTCCTGCTGGACACTAGCAGTCCACCTATTACACTTACATGCCACTGTAGTGATTGCCATAGCATCCCCAAACCATGTGTGATGCTCCTGTATTTATGCTCAGTATATCTATCAAAAACAAAGAAACAAAAACGAAGCACGACCAAAGTCCTGGAAAAAGAGAGTCCCAGTTTTGCCCAGTGATGTGATTTTCACCATCACTACATTTCTCTGTGCAGCCTCAGTCCACAGAGATTGCATCAGACAGACCTAAGCAGAGCTGGTAGTGGAATTCCTACTGAGTACAAGACAAAGCACTTCCCACTCAAACACAAGAGCACCCATACCCAGCATAGGCTGAACTGGAAACATGAAACTGTAGCCAAAGTCTAAGCAGAAGGATTTTTGATCTATTCCCTAGGACACCATCAAGACCTCCATGAAGACTATTATACAAAGCCATTACAGTCGTTCTATGAGAGAGAGAGAGGGGCAGTGATGGCACATACATGGTGAAAAGGCACTTCCTTGGCAATGAAACCACTAAAGGCTCTCAAAAACTAAGCACAGGTACTTACTCGACCAGATGCTGTGAGATTATCTATGCCAAGCAGGTCGTGCTGCAGCTCTGTCAGCTTCTGGAAATTCTCCAGGCGGATGAGACTCTGCTGCAGCTGAGATGTCATTTCTGTGACTTCCTTCAGTGCATCTGTAAGGAAAGCAGCATCAAGGGGATCAGAACAGAGCAGACAAACCAATTTCATCCGTGGAAAACTGAACCTGAAATTCATAGCCAAATTTAGAAAGGGACAGTTCAGTCACAAGGGACCTACAACAATCTAGTCCAACTGCCAGCTTCTTACAGAGTATTTTACAGACACCTAGGGGGCAAAATGGAGACTAGCAAGCAACTTCACAGCACTTCCTATGCTTCTGAAGATTATTGCATACCTCAGGTTTTGCACATATAAGAAGCATTTACCACGTAGCCAAAAGTAAATGAAAAAATTGAAGCCAATTAATTCTGCCAAAGATTACTTTATAAATGAGTAGAATTTACTATGCAAGCTTTTGATGCTGCAAAACAATTATTTTTTGACACATTTTTCCTTATAAATGATGACAAGTTCTTAAAAATATCTACTTTTTTCCCCTGTGAAAAAAGAGGACAAGAAAAAGTTTTCCAGTTTTGGTTGAAACTTTAAGATCCATCAAGACTACCATAAGAAAAACATTTTCTGGAATGCCAGAAAAGCACTCATTCTGTGCAAAGGAAATAGTCTACATCTAAGTTATCTTCTAAATTATCCAAACTAGCAGCTAAGGCAATTTTCTGCCTCTTGTAGAAAGCTTTGGAGCCCTGCATCAGGGCATGGTAGGGGAGCAATGAAACGTAGTACTGAAAACCTCAAAGAAAGTTAATTTTAAAACACAAGCCAAACCTTTTTTTAATTAAATTAAGCTGCCTCCTGCTAGTCTTCTGTTGTTCTACTTGGTATATTCAGGTTTTTTTTCCCCTGGAATATTTAAGTTACAGTATTCACTAAGCAGTTTTGTTTTCAGCAATCTAAATCAAAGTTCCTGCGTATTCCACAGAGCTGCAGGAAAGAGTCAGAGAGGTCCTGAATGGACAAAAGGCATTTACACTGGGTTTGTAGATGTAATGCTTGTTGTCTCCTACAGGGTATGGGCAGGTTTTTGTATGTACATGGGAAAGGGCTCCTGCCTCACACGTGTACAGCTGAGTGCTCACTCACTCCTGCAGTCGGCGAAGTCCCGGTGCTCTGCTGTGTAGTGCTTGCAAAGCCTCCCCAGGACCAACTTGTAGTGCATCAGTCTCTGGATTGGTTTGAGCAGGAACATGTTGAGGGGCAGGTAGCAAACCTTCTGCAGCTCAAACTCCTTATAAACCATTTCCAGCTTCTTTAGGCGTTTAGATGCTTTCTCCAGTTCTGTCAGGACTTCGTTATGCTTCTGCAGGTAACTGGTAAACTCCTGTTGAATCATACCAAAAATTACTCGGATCAAAGAAAAACAGTCTTTAATAGATTCCACAGTGAATAAGAAAAAAAGACAGGCAGAAGTGAGCTGAGAGGGTTGTCTCCTCTAGGTTTACCTATCAGAGAAACCAGCAGGTAGCTCCCAGTCAGAGTCAGAGCAGGTGCCTCTGCAGCACTGTGCCTACAGGCCTACTTGGAATGACAAATGGCAGTCAGAACAGCAGTCACACACTTCTGCACTCCCATTCAAGCCAGGGGTTTTAACAGAATAATTACTCCACTAGTACAACACAAGTGTAACTGTCCTATGAAGGCTCTCTACTCCAAATAAAGGTGACTTCATTTCAGGAGTCACTATTCTGCAATTAAAGAACATTTATATCTTGGAATTGAACAACCTTCTCACAGAATCTCAGGCTGGTTTGTGTTGGAAGGGACCTTTAAGATCACCTAGTTTTAACCCCCCTACCAAGGGCAGGGACACCTTCCACTGGATCAGGTTGCTCAAAGACCCATCCAGCCTGGCCTTAAACACTGTCAGAGAGAGGACATCCAAAGACTCTCTGGGCAGGCTGTTCCAGTGCCTCACTATCCTCACAGTAAACAATTTCTTTCTTGTATCTAAATTTACCTCTACCCTCTTCAAATTTAAACCCATTCACCCTGCCACTACACACCCTGATCAAGAGTCCCTCCCCATCTTTCCTGTAGGCCCCCTTTACGTACTGGAAGGCTGTTACAGGGTCTCCCCAGAGCCCTCTCTTCTCCAGGCTCAACAAACCCAACTGTCTCAGCTTGTCCTCACAGGGGAGGTAGTCCTGATCATCTTTGTGACTCTCCTCTGGAGCTGCTCCAAAAGATCTGTGTCCTTCTTATACTGGAAGCTCCAGAGCTAAACACAGTGTTCCAGGTAGGGTCTCACAAGAGCAGAGCACGGAGGAAGCAGCACCT